CGCAGGGGCCGGTCAGTCTCCCCATAGGTTCGTGCAGGAGCCAGTCTGCTAGGCTAGCCAGGAGAGAGTGTGCTGCCTGCCAGGCTTCTATGCAGTGCTGCTGGGCAGCCCAGAGGCCCACGCTGCACCCTGGCCTGTGGCATCCGACCACACTCACCACATCTCCATGTGGGGACTCAGGCACTGTGACTCAGGTGCAGTGGGGCACGCGGGGGCCCAGGTGCTGCCCCGGGCCCAGAGGTCAGCTGGGACCTGCCCGTCCATGCCAGACGCTCATGCTTCAATCACCAGCCAGGCCTAGGGACCGCACCCATGCACGAATTTTATGCACTGGGCCTCTAGTTTTATATAAGTAGGATCATACAATATGTGAGGTTTTGTGTCCAGTTTCTTTCACTTAGCATAATTACTTCAAGGTTGGCACTGTGTATTTTTTGGATGTGGCTTGGAAGGTCTTAGGCAATGAGAATAATTACTAACATAAAGTTCACTTGGAGCCAGGTGCTCTGCTAAACACTGCACTCATATAATACTAATAGCAATCCCATGAGATGGATGGTATGGTTATCCCCATTTTTCAGATGAGAAAACCAAAGTACCAAGCAGTTAAGTGACTTGCCCCAGGGTGTAGTAGCACTGGGCAGGATTGCTCCAAAGCCTTCACTCTCCCTGTCAGCTGGGCTACCTCTCTTTAAGGGAGCAGGCTCTCTCACCACACTTATTCTCGACCACTTCTCACATTTCTATGACCTACCTCAATACTAGAATTGTCTGCATTCATGCCGTCTGCTTTGGTTATTCAGCATAAGCCTGCATTCAAGACCTAAACCTCACTGGACCACATATTTTTCATCTGAGATATGGGTTACCACTCAGTTACTTTCAAGGCTGTGGGCAAATGTTCCTTATAGACCTCAGGAGACAGAGGAGTCACCATGCCAACCTTTCAGGGCAGTTATGATGAGGAGATGGGTATGAGGCACTGAGGGCCTGGAGTGTGGAAGACATTGGGGAAACAGAGCCCTCGTTATGATTACTACACACCTGTTCCACTGAGCTGCTTCTCCCCACTGCTCAAAAGAACAGCTTCCCATTTCTGTAGGTGCACACAGGCTAGAGACCTGTCCTCAGAGCTTTCCGAACTAGTAAAATACACAATGCACTAAAAAACCATCTGTAATTAGAACAGGGATGATTTCTTAACCACCCTTTTAAACTCCTTGGAGCCTAAAGTCTGTCTCAACTTGCCAGCATCTGGAGGGATTTTACAAATCATGCTTCAAGGTTGTGTGTGCTTTCTGAAGCCAATCAGGCTTTCTCAGTCACGCCTCACTGTTGAGGATGAAGACCAGAATAAGTGGCTCTTGGGCAGGCCCACCCAATCTACCACTTTGGGGCTCCAGGAAACACAGCCATTCTAAAACTGTAACTGCCCACATACCTAGAAAAAAACACCAATGTGAAACCCATAATTATCACTGTATTTTGCACAAAAGATCCAGAAACCTGGGCCCTACCTTGAAGCAAAAGCTTCTTCTGGAAAAAAAAAAAAAAAAAAAAAGCTTTTTCTGGTTCAGCTTTCTTACTTAAAATAAAAAAGGCCTTGGCCAGTGTGGCTCAGTTGGTTGGGCATAGTCCTTGTATGAAAAGGTTGCAGGTTCGATTCCCAGTCAGGGCACATGCCCAGATTACAGGCTCAATCCCTGGTAAGGGGTGTGCAGAAGGCAGCCAATCAATGTCTGTCTCTCTCTCTCTCTCTCTCTCTCTCTCTCTCTCTCCACTCCTTCCTCTCTCTTGAAAAATCAATTAAAATATATTTTAAAAATAAATAAAATAAAAAAGCTCACTGGGTAGCAGCTTTATCTAGATCAGCGGTTCTCAACCTGTGGGTCGTGACCCCTTTGGGGGTCGAACAACCCTTTCACAGGGGTCGCCTAAGACCATCGGAAAACACATATATAATTACATATTGTTTTTGTGATTAATCGCTATGTTTAATTATGTTCAATTTGTAACAATGAAATTGGGGGTCACCACAACATGAGGAACTGTATTAAAGGGTCGTGGCATTAGGAAGGTTGAGAACCACTGATCTAGATGGTATCTTGGCTCTCTCTTTTAAGCTATTTGACCAGGTGTCCCTCAATTGGAAGGACCAGCAAAATTGTTGGGGTAATTAACAACAATAAATGTGAAGTGCCTAGCACACAGCAAGCACTCTGGAGATGGTAGCTGGTGACAGCGCTGCAGATCTGAGAGTGACACATACCTGGTCCCCTCCACAAAGCTTTGTGAGTTGTTAGGCACTATCCAGATAAGCAAACTGGCCAAGGTTCAGAGTATTTTACAAAGGCCACTTGGCCAGTAAGCTGTAGAAGGAGGGCAACCTCCAGGAGTAAGGGCATATATATAGTGCTTGAAAGCAAGGACTGTGGAATCAGACAAGCCTGGATGAAATCTTAGCTTTGCCACATGAGGAAAGTTATTCGCCTCCATTTAGTCATCTGTAAAATGGTTTCACTGGCCCTGGCCAGCGTGGCTCAGTAGAGTGTCGGCCCATGCACCGAAGGGTCTTGGGTTCCATTACTGGTCTAGGACGCATACCTGGGTTGCAAGTTTGACTCCCAGCCCTGGTCAGGGCCCATGCAGGAGGTAACCAACTGATGTGTCTCTAACATCATATCGATGTTTCTTTCTTTCTCTCTCTCTCTCTCTCTCTCTCTCTCTCTCTCTCTCTCTCTCATCTCTCTCCCTCCCTCCCTCCTTTCCACTCTCTCTGGGAAAAAAAACATGGGAAAAATATCCTCGACTGCTGAATGGGGTGGATCCAGAGACTCAAAGCATGGAACAGAATGCAGAATTTCAGAGGGAACACAGGGGAGAGTAAGTGGGTGGGAGGTAATCAACCAAAGACCTTGTATGTATATATGCATAACCCATGGACACAGACAATAGGGTACTGAAGGCCTGGGGTGGGGGCGGGATGTAGGGGGTCAATGGGGGGGAAAGGGGGCATATGTAATACTTTCAACAATAAAGAATTATTTTAAAAGTATTGTCAAGTGAGGATTAACCAAAAAAATTATTTATTGATTTCAGAGAGGAAGGGAGAGGGAGAGAGAGAGAGAGAAACATCAATGATGAGAATCCTTGATCGGCTGCCTCCTGCACATCCCTTACTGGGGATGGAGTCCACAACCCGGAGATGTTCCCTGACTGGGAATCAAACTATGACCTCCTGATTCATGGGTTGAGGCTCAACCAGTTCGCAGTTTCCTCTACCACCTCCTAAATCACCTAGTGCAGTGGTCAGCAAACTGCGGCTCGCGAGCCACATGCGGCTCTTTGGCCCCTTGAGTCTGGCTCTTCCACAAAATACCACGTGCGGGCGCACATGTACAGTGCGATTGAAACTTCGTGGCCCATGCGCAGAAGTCGGTATTTTGTGGAAGAGCCACACTCAAGGGGCCAAAGAGCCGCATGCGGCTTGTGAGCCGCAGTTTGCCGACCACTGACCTAGTGTAACACATGATGGTGAAAAACTGAGACTTGATCATTTACATTCTTCACCTTCTCAATGTACGTAGCATGTTGAAAACTTTCAGAAGATAGCCTTTAAAGGAGTATCATTTTTCTAACTTTTTTGTGCTTCCACACTCAAAATTTCCACATCGTTAGATGCAAGTCAATTAAATGATTATACTTTTTCCCACAAATGCATTATACACAAAAAGAAATAGAAAATTCCACAACCCTGTAACTTTATTTTTCTTCAAGGCACGAACAATATGCCATACTGCCATGTTTGTAGTTGTTTTCACCCCCCACCAGAACATCAGCTCCATGAGGACAGTCTCAGTTCTGTTCACTGCACCACCAGTGTCTAGAACAGAGCCTGGCACCTTTGCCCCATGTTGTACCAACTCCAGGAGAATTGCCCACATGAGAAACATTTCTGCATCTTTTGCAAAACTATTTTGTCTAGCACTGTCTACTGTTTTCTAGAGCTCCTTATATGTAACATAAAGCCCACAAGAAGTCAGTACTAGGACAAACTTTTATTTTTGCTCAGCTCATTTGTTTTTCATTAGTTGAATTTGCCTTGGTTGTCAAGAAGCTCAGAGCACAATTCTGTACTCAACTGCAGTGTTGTTTTTTTTAAACCCCTTTTTTGATGTGGGGGTGGGATATAAATAATTGAGAAGATTCTGCCAGTACAAGTGTGAGACCCTATTTTTAACCACAGACAACTTATTTTAAGATGCTTCTCAAACTTGAGTGCAAATTACCCGGGGATCCAGTTAAAATGAAGACTCTGACACAGATCAGAGGCAGGGGTCTCCAGATGCTGCATTCCCAACGAGTCCCAGGTGATGGAGCGCGGGCCCTGGACCACACTTTGAATAGCCAGGATCTAAGAAACTTACTGCCTTGATTCGGCAGGATTTCTCTCTCCCCATCTTTGGCAAAAATATCATTAATGTTTCAAAAACTGGGGCGGTCACCAGAGGCACCTGGGGAGCTGGTTAGACCTACACCTCGCTGTCCCCACAGAGATCCTGAAAAAGGGGGTAGGAAGGCGCCCAGCAAGCTCGCCAGGTGTTTCTGTCGCAGGTGACCTAGAAACACATTTCGAGAAGCCCCGCTGGAGGGAATGAGTGCTCTCTTCAAGGTTTCCCAAAGGCAATCTCCTGGGGACAGCTGTTGTCACCGGTGGTGACACCTTGTTCAGAATTTTAAGGGGTACTATCCTGCTGTTTCCAGCCCAGCACCAGAAGGGGTCCCGCTCCCTCCTTTCCGGCCACGTGGATCGCAGCAGGGTCAGCCCCCAGTGGGCTTGGGGCTCGCACCCCCGCCCCACCGCCCGCCAACTGCGTCCGGCGCAGGCCCTTGGGGCGGGCACCGGGCCGCTCATGCGCACCACTGAGCCGCAAGGGCGTCGAGCCCCCGCCCCACGGGCCCTAGGGGGGTGGTCCCCGCGTGCACCCCGCTCGCCTTACCTCTCTGGACCAGAGTGTCCAAGGAGAAAGCGAGGCAGATGAGGAACGCCGAGCGCCAGGCCACCATTGCTGGGAGCGGACGGAGGGGACCCAGAGGAGAACAGTTTGCGCGAGAGCACCCGAGGAGTAGGTCCAGATGGAGCGGGGAAAGAGGCGGAGCAGCAGGAGGAGGAGCCTTGCCACCACCGCAGGACCCGCCCAGAGCCGGTGCGTGCAGCGCGCACCGGGAGGGACGAAAGGGGCGCGCGCGAGCGCAGACACCGGGGGCGCGCCCGGCTTGGGTGAGGTGAGGGGGGGCGGGTTTGCACCAGAGACGCGGGCGGCTGGGGGAGCCTGCAGTTTCGGGGGCGGGGCTGGTGTGCCAGAGGCGGATCCAGAGGACACCCTGCGGGCGGGGTTGTCTGGGTTGGGTGCGGGGCCAGCACCAGCAAGCGGCCCGCAGGTTCCTTCCCACCAGGGTCCTGGAGATGGAAGTCTCCGAGGTGGACCCTGCGGGCCCAGAGCAGTGTGGAGGAGCCAGAGGTGCGGGAGGCGAGTGTGGGGTGATTTACACGCAGTGCGCCAGATTCCGGGCCGGGCCGTGGCGGGACCTAGGGCGGCGCACATGCCCGGTGCGGTCTGCCAGACTGGTGACCCTTGGACAGAGCTCTACCCCTTCTGACCTTGGTGTCATCAGGATAAAGGCTCTTCCCTAAAGGCCCCTCTGGCTGCGGCTCCAGGATGGCACCCGCGCTTTTGCCTCAGTCGCTGTAGCCGACCTTAGTTTTTCAGAGCCGCTGGCTGCCCGCCCACTCGCTGATGCCTGCAGGAAACTGTAGTGGAACCCCGTCCAGAGGTTAACAAAAAGGGCTGTTTTCGTGTCTGGCCACGGTTGGCAAAACAGCGGTATGTCTGGAGGAAACTAGCCCGAGGTCGGAGCTCCAGGGCAGGCCAGAGGGAAGGGGTGGGGCGAGCTAAACTGGAGTGCCGCGGGCCCAGGGGACAAAGGGGTAGGCACAGGGTTAGCTCTCTGGAGACTTTGATGAATGTGCCGAAAGCGCAAGTTCATATCTGCAGAGTCGCGCTGTAAACGAGCTCACAAATAGACAAACGCGCTGCAGTCCTTTCCCATGAACCCCCGCAAACGAAGTCCGTGTCCTGGACCTGGCAAAATCAGACTCTGGCACTGCCCTGAAGAGCAAAATGCCCATTCCAGCCTTTGAGGTGAACGCCCTCAAGAAGGGCTCCAGCTACAGCCAGCTTTCGAGGACAAAGAGAAAGCACCGCTGCTGTCCTGAGTGGCAGAGCAGGGGCGTCAAGCCTGTCCCTACCATTATTCGACATGGGCTGCATTGGGCCACATCGTCCTTAAAGGGCAGCTACTACCACGTCCACCCAGTGTTCCTTCGTAGACTTCCTGTGCCCCACATCGCCGGGCCCACCCCCCCAAAGACCCCACCACCACTAGTGCCTTCCATCAATCACCCTCTGAGCCATAGTGGGGGGTAAGGGTCTCCTTGAAATGGAGCCTGTGACTTCCATCCTTTGCCCTGAATCCTGGGGCTTGAAAAATAAAACATAAGGAGTAAGTGGCTGTTTGGATTTTCAGGGCAGTGCTTACTTATTCTGTGTCACTACGAGCAGAAATAGCTAGTTATCGAACACATACTATATGCATGGTATACTCTAGGTATTTTACCCTTATTTTTTATTCCTCACAACTTCATGTAGCATCTCAATGATTAATGAGGGGAAAGAAGTAAAATGGAGGTTCCTTGAGGTTGAAGAGTAAATCAGCTCCAGTTCCTTAGTGTCCAAAGGCACAAGGGGATCACTAGGAAGCCCAGTGGGTGAATGGCTAAGAACATGTGCTTTAGAGCCAAGCAGAGATGAAATCCTGGCTGGACTCAATAAGGTTGTGCTAAGGATTAACTGACATGGTGGAAAGTGGGTGGTCTACACTGAGGAAGTGAGGAAAATGCAGCCTCTGAGTTGAGGCCATCTCAGTCAACATGCCCTGGACAGTCACACCCACCAGGAGCTCTATCTGGTACATGTGTAATGCAGACACCTAAACCCCACCAGCAGAATACTGGTCATGGTGTAATACACAGTAAAACTATCTTCTAGCTCGGGTAATTGGCCCACTGGCCAAATCCAGCCCACCTGTTTCTCTGCATGGCCTGCAGTCTAGGAGTGTTTTTGTATGTTTAAATGCTTGAAAAAAATCAAAAGAAGATTATTTTGTGACATGGGAGAGTTAGTTATATGAAATTCAAATGTCAGGGCCCATGAAGTTTGTGGGCGCACCCATTCATTTCTGTATTGTTGATGGCTATCTCTGTGCTGGCACAGCAGAGTTGTTATTGTGACAGGGATCATGGCGCCCACAAAGCCTAAAATAATTACTACCTTTACAGAGAAGTTTTCTGGCCTCTGTTCTAGCATCTTGAACTCTGACAAGGATGAATATTTTAAAAATATTTTTTATTGAATTTTTTAGAGAGAGAGGAAAGGAGAGGAAAGGAGAAACATGGATGTGATCAATTGGTTGTATCCTACACACCCCCTACCGGGTATCAAGCCCACAACCCAGACATGTGCCCTGACTAAGAATTGAACTGGCAACCTTCTGGTGCACAAGGAGAATGTCCAACCATTTAGCCACACCAGCCAGGGGTGAAAAGGATGAATATTAACAGGTGATGGTGTGAGACCTAAACAGTGTGCTCCACCAGAACACAGGATGACACAGGAATAAGAACCAACAGAAAAGGGTAATGTTGCCCAGCTGGCATAGGTCAGTGGTTGAGTGTCGACCTATGAACCAGGAGGTCACGGTTCAGGTATGGGGCACATGCCTGGGTTGCAGGCTCAATCCCCAGTGTGGGATGTGAAGGAGGTAGCCAATAAAAAATTCTCTCTCATCATTGATGTTTCTATCTTTCTCTTCCTCTCCTTTCCTCTCTGAAGTCAATCCTATTTAATAAAGAGGTGATGTGAAAATTGACCCTCACTCTATGATGCTGTCACAAGATGGCTGCACCCACAGCAGAGGCAGGGTTGCCGTAACACAGGATGGCTGTGCCCACAGTGGAGATGGGGTTCCCATAACTAGCCATAACGAACAATCAGCAGGGACCTGAGGCTGTGTGGCACCGGGCCAGGGCGGGGGACCTCAGGCCACACCCCCTGCCCGGTGGGGCTTGAAGGGGGACCTCAGATCACGCCCCCCCGCCTGGTGGGGCTTGACGAGGGACCTCAGTCCATGCCCCCCACCCAGCAGGGCTTGATGAGGGACCTCAGGCCACGCCTCCCATCCCAGCACTGGGCCAGGGGACCTGAGGCTGCGCCCCCTTCCCGGCAGGGATTGATAGGGGTGGGGCCGGGTCTGGATCTCGCCTAATGGGAGTAGGGCCAGCTAGGTCTGGGTCTCACGAAATTTCGAGGTGCACGCGGGTGAGCAGGGACTTGACTCTGGGTCCTGTGGCGTGCCCCAGACTCTGACAGGAAGAAGATTTTCATATACATTTTACTAATTTTCTTTCATTTCTGACACTTCCATTATAGAGAAAGGGCAAATAGCAATATTAAAATATTTCCTCTAATTAATTCCCTTTTAATGTGCACAAATTTCATGCACTGGGCCACTAGTAAAAATATATTTTTTAAAAAGAGAAAGGGATAATGTTTACCGTGTGCCAAAAGACACCCACTCAAAAATGTAATTAATCAAAATATTGAAAATGTCTGAGGTCAGTTATCCTACCAGATAACTCTCCCTATGTAAAATGACTCATCTGGGCCCAGGCTAGTCTCTAAGTCTCATATATTAGGTTAGTGTGAGTCTGAAAAGGCTGATGACATCTATGTCCTGAGTCTGCCAGGCTGAAGACCAGCCTAGAACTTGGTAATCCTGTCAATCAGATAATAGTTATCCTGCTGAATTGAAATGGAACATGGAGTTGACTTACAAACAGGAAATTCTACACTTAGAAACTGATTCTGTGCCTGCCCCTGGACACACACACACATACACTCCCCACTGCCCCTGAACATGGGAACTGGGGCCAACTCCTGGCCCAGCCAGCCTTGTCCCCACCCTCTTGCAACTCCTTACACCTTGCTGAACTTCTCACATCCTGAAAATTGTCACCAATTGGAAAACCATTTGGTCTGGCAAGCTTCTCTCCTAAAAAGCCCTATTTTCCTCAGCTCTGACAGAGAAGTACCCCATAGACCAGCCGTGGGCAAACTACGGCCCGCGGGCCAGATCCGGCCAGTTTGAAATGAATAAAACTATTGAAAAAAAAGACCATACCCTTTTATGTAATGATGTTTACTTTGAATTTATATTAGTTCACACAAACACTCCATCCATGCTTTTGTTCCGGCCCTCCGGTCCAGTTTAAGAACCCATTGTGGCCCTTGAGTCAAAAAGTTTGCCCACCCCTGCCATAGACAAATGGCCATCAGGCAAGTTGGTTGAGTCTGAGAGTACAAGAGAGGCACAGATGGAGCTGGGAGGACTTCTGAGGGCTAGCCTGGTATTCCACCATTTCCCAACCTTCTGCCCTCACCCTCATTACACACCATAGCCTTGAGAAGAGTACTCTAAATTCCAAAACAGCTATATCTCACTATCATAGTGCAGAGTTCCAGTCTATATCCCAAGTGTCACAGACCCTTTCTTGCAAAGTGCCCCAAGGGGGCCTCCTTCACCCATGGCCAAATTCACTCACACCAGTGGTGAGGGCTTGGGGCTGGTATGGGGGTAGGTGGAGGGGGTCGGTGAGGAAAAAGGGGGGATATATGTAATACTTTCAACAATAAAGATTTAAAAATAGAATAAAATAAAAACAAAATCACTCTCACTTAGAAGCATCTGCCCACCAGGCCACTGGACAGGCCTTGCCACCGCTGCCACCACCACTGTGGAGTGGAAGGGGCCACTTGAGAGCACCAGTGTCCATGTCACGAGTGCCATTTCCTGCTAACCTCCACTCCCATTGATCCTTGGGCCAGAATGGAGAGGGAGGGCAGCGACAAAGGCTGATGGGACCCAAGGCAGCTCAGCTTGTGCTCATGGCTTCAACAGCCCTTCCATCTGCTTCCTCCTTTCTGGCACAGCCTTTGGTTAATCCCTCTTAACCAAACTAGTTTGTGGGTCCCTGCACCATAGGGGTGGGAAAGGGAGCCACGTTTCCCCTACC